GTGTCACAAAAAATGGTCATCGTTTTCTCACCACCAGGTACATGATTACCTAAGAAGTAAGCTCTGCTCGCTGTATGAGAATGACTGCATCTTCGACAAATTTGAATGTGTTTGGAATGGATCAGACAGGTCAGTGCTTTACACAGCTTTACTTTGATGCACATCCTGGTCTTATTGTGAATGGTAAATCAGTGTACAGTTACAAAAATGTAAAAAAAAAATATTGTTGATTTTTCATTTTGTTCTATTTCCAGCGTGATAATGACTGGTTCCTACAACAACTTCTTCCGAATGTTCGACCGAAATACGAAGCGTGATGTGACACTGGAGGCGTCCCGAGAGAACAGCAAGCCTCGGGCAATCCTGAAACCTCGTAAGGTGTGTGTGGGCGGAAAGCGCCGCAAAGATGAAATCAGTGTGGACAGCCTGGACTTCAGCAAGAAAATTCTCCACACCGCATGGCACCCTTATGAGAACATCATCGCTGTGGCAGCCACCAATAACCTTTACATATTCCAGGATAAGGTCAACTAGCACAACTGTACCACCTCCACATGTTCCTTAAAAGAGCAAGAAAAAGCTGTAGCCCAGCTGGATATTGCAGGGTGTGTTTTGTGATGAGAAACATGAAGTTACCTATGATGTGGGGAGAAGTATGAACAGATGATGCTGGAGAAGAAGGCCATGTTGTGAAAGGATGCTCCCAGACTTTCGTGAACAAGCATCCTGACCTGCTCAATCATTCTTCCACTATTAAGTATCTGCATTTCCTCTTCCACGAACTCTAGTTTATTTATCGTATTTATTCATTCCTCTGCTGGAAGTAAATACCTGACACGTCCTAAATCTGGAGAAATTTGCATTTTCATCACAATGATATGAAGAATTTTTTATAAGGCAAAACAAACCTTGAATAAGACGGGCCTCCGCTGACATCCTGGCATCAGAATCAAAGGGGTGCCTTTACTTACAAAAAACTATGGATTTTCATTTCCTTTGAAACACAATGCCCCCCGACTTCCTCCGAAGTGTCTGACTGATCCGTAACAGACTAAGACTGTTACTTTGCGCTGATTGTAGTGTTGAGACAAACAATCTGTGGATGGAATCACAGCATTTAGTGTCCTGATTGGCCCTCTTGAATGGAGCCCTGAAGTAAAAGTCAATCCCATTGGTTATGTCTTGTCATTCCATGTTGTCCTCTTATTTTGATGTAACCATTAATAAGCTGTGGTGCCTTCTTTTCGTATGTGGGTACTGGGGAGGCTGGTGGGTGGGAGGGCTTTTGGAAGGGTGGTATTTGGGTTGTGAAGTGTGAATGTTTTTACAAGAAATGTGAAGAATATCTTTGTGTAAGAAGGGGAAAGAATTGCAGCGACGTGATTTTACAGTACACAGAATTGAAGTACTTGAATTCTGCATTATAGTCTCCACTTTATCTCAGTATGCTCATGACTTATACATGACAGTATACCCTGTTTTTTTATTCTTCAGTGCCGTGCTGGGTGAAAAGTATTGCCGTATTGCATGCAACTTGTCATCTATAATGAGCCAATGAAGAAAATATATGTCCCGCACCATCAAATGAACCTGTAACAATCAGATGTCATTTTTTTTACATGGTTTCTGCTGCATCTGTCTGAGACTGTTAAAACATCATCATTCAGTTACTTTGGCCTGAGGATGACAGGAATGCCGGTATCATGATGTAGCCTATACATGACGTGAAGGTTAAATGATATCAGGGAATTTTATTATGTACAAATTAACCAATAATGTTCTCTTCTGAAGAATAAAAACTTCAGTTGTAAACTTCTTAATGAAACAAAGTTTTATAGCTCAGAATGTATCTACACCCAAATATTTGCCATGCAGTCTTCATGTTTAATGCAATTCGTTTAAATAAAAAGAAACGAAAAGGAAGTTGAAATAAAGCTGTTTCCTGCTCTCCTTTTCACCACACGTGAATTAAACAATGGCGCCCTCATGTGACAGTTCACGAGACACTCGTATCAATCAAATTCAAAGAATGAATAATTCCGCAATTTACTTACCCACGTTGTTCCAAAGCCATTACTTTTTTTCCTCTGCAGAGCACAAAACAAATGTTGGTTAAACTTTATTTTAAGGTGTCATTGTTACGGTTTAATTGTATATTTAAGTATTTTAATTAACAGTGTTCTTACTATAAGGTTAGGGTAAGATATGGGTTTGGATGAGGGTTAGTTGCATGCCATTATGCAAAATGTAGGCCAACTGTTATTACAAGGTAATGGTATGTAACATGTAACAAGAACACTAAAAGTTGCCGAATATATTTGGCAGCAGATTAGAAGAGGTGGGCAGTAGTAACAGATTAGGCTAAATTTAATAATGTTTTTTTTTTTTTTTTTTTGAGAAATTGTACTTTTAAGAGTAGATTTGAATGTAGGTACTTTAACTCGAGTACATTTCTAATTACTTTATTTTAATGCAATATGTTGTTAAATGCGTAGTTTATTCCAAGCGCGCTGTGTCTTTTTTCGGGGCAAGAGCGATGCTTTATTCACAAATGAATCACTCTTTTGAGTCGATTCTGTTCAAAGACGTTGGCAGAACCATGATGTCTATGGGCAGAACTGTTTAAATCGGTTCGCAAAACGGTTTGAATGATTTTTTCAGTTTCCTGCACCCACTGAATCGTCTGAAGCGGTTTCCTGGCTGTTTCACACTCGGAGTCGTAAAAGGAAGAACTAAGAACATCGAAAGCGTACAGATAAGTGAAAGCAAATCTGCAAATGCATAATTTTGTTAGCCAGCGATGAAGATTTTTATTATGTGAATATCTTCGTATGGCCTACTGTGAATGAATGATTAGACTTTTGGATTCGATTCCATTTCATTATAAAGTATGACATTACCAGTTTTTTGGACATACACACATATTTTTATACATTAAATCAAATAAGCTACAATTGTTCAAGTTTATGAAATGAACAAACGCCATCCCGCGGTAGTTTGTGTGTATTGCGCAGTGACGTGCATGCGTGGTGGGAATTCAAGTTACTGAAAACAGCTTGAAAACGTAACAGGGTTACATATGCCAGAAATAATGCTCGTCTATTGTGTTTTTGTGGTAAAGATAGCCTAAATGATAATAGTAATTTAAATAAAAACAAAATCTAAATAATAACATATATAGCCCTATATGATTTTTTTTTTACTTACTCAACTAGGTTTACTACTTTTACTTTGAATAAAAATTTATTCAAGTAGCCTACTTGTTTTACTTGAGTAGTTTTTGGATACTCTACCCAGCATATTAGGGACTGACAACCACTTCTGACAATTGATGTGAATATAAGTAGTATTTTGAGTTACAGGTTTGTTGGATTCATAGAATAATAATAACACTTCATAATAACTTTAATTGATAATAATAAAACTGACAGATATTAATAATTATATAATTCTTAGATTATTAGACACAAATCATAACCTAATGGTTTTCCATGTCGTTGTTCAATATTTTTTGTGACACTTAAGTGTTGGCCAAACGTTATGCGTTTACAATTCAAGTTTAAACATCTAACTTTAGCTATCGTGAAAAATGTTGTAGGCCTATACTATAAAGTGTTACCAAAGCAATATGTCAAAGTAAATTAAAATAGGATACCTGTCAGTTTGTCTTTGTTCCTGAGGTAAAATCTCTCATCAAAATTCATTCATATTGCTACTCCATATTTCCATTTGCAATCATCAAACCTTTGTCTCCGGCAGGAAATAAAAAATCCATAATCTCCAGTGACAATAGAAGCAATAAGTTTGACACCGTGTGTAGCCGTCAGTGCTTATTACCCGAAATCATTTTAATTGGCCTCGGGAGGGTCGCGACGGGCGAAATGAAACGCTGTCAGTCAGCTGGGGACGGCACCTGTCAATCAAAACGTCCGTTATAAAGTCGCTCCGCTTTCGCGCCGTCTAGTCAAAGGCGGGAAAAGAGCGCGAGGATCCGTTCCATAAGCGCGTGGAGTATATTCGCGCATAGACGCAGTTTTGAGACAGCATATCTCTCTCTTCTCTCCAAATACTGCCAACTATTTCTTTCATTTACCAATCAATCACAGTGAAAATGGATAAATTACCTGTTATGAACATCAGCTCTGTCAACAGTTCCGTGGATAGACGCTCATTTCTGGAGAGAAGTGGCTATCAGCACCTGGATCACGGAGATCTGAAGGTTTTGATTCCAGTAGTGCTAGGAATCATCTGCGTCCTGGGTTTCACCGGGAATGTAACTGCTATAGGAGTCCTGATTACCAATGCGCGTAAAGGTAAGCTGTCCTTGATCAACGCACTCATCCTCAACCTCATGCTGGCTGATGGTCTGGTCTTGGCATTTGCTGTTCCCTTCAAAGCCACTGCTTATTCCCGTGCCAGCTGGACCCTGGGATTGTTTGTCTGTAAAACCTGTGACTGGTTCCTGCACTCCTGCATGGCCGCAAAGAGCTTCACCGTGGCCATCATGTCCAAAGCTTGCTACAGGTATGTCAGTAATCCCACCAAGCAAGTGACCATCCGTTTGAAGAATATCCTGGTAGTCCTCCTCTTCACTTGGCTCTTGGCATGCGTGGTCCCAATTCCCCAGTGGCTTTTTTCCACCCTGCAAAGAGAAGGAAATGGAATGATCTGTGTTCAAGCAGTGCCTGTCGAAGCCCATTATTTTATGTCTGTGTATGCCAAGGCGTACCCTCTTCTGACCTACTGCACACCTTTGAGTTTTGCACTACTTTATTTCTGTAAGACGTATGGACGATGCCAGCACAGGTCCAGCAAGACCCAGAACCTGCGGACACAGATCAGATCCCGCAAACTCACCCTGATGCTGTTCAGCCTGACCGTGGCCATGGCCACCATGTGGCTCCCACAATGGGTTTCCTGGGTTTGGATGCGGCACGCGCTGGAGACCGAAGGTGCCTTCCCTCCGGTGATCTTCACTCTCTCTGCCCAGCTCCTCATGTTCTCCATTTCTTTAGTAAACCCTGTCATCGTTCTCGCACTCTCAGAGGAATTCAGGGAGGGCTACATAGGCTTGTGGCGTAGACTCACCCTCCGCAAGCAACCAGCAAAACACAAGCCAGGACCACACACCCCGACCGCCCCAAAGTCGCCAACCCCAAGACCTGAAAGATCAGCCCACCTCCCTCCACACCAGCCAGGGAAAATAGAGGAGCAAAAGCCTGAGAAGCAACCGGACCAGTGTGAAGGACTGCAGGAGAGCCCGACCAACAAGGATGGAATTGTACTGCCGGATGTAGAGCAGTTTTGGCAGGAGAGGGAAACCGGCTCCCAGTCACAGGAAAATGATCCTATACCCTGGGAGAACCAGGATCCCAAGCAAGGAAAACAGTAAGACAGTCTGAATCTACCTGCCTCTTTTTCATTATATCAACATAAAAGAAAAACACATACAACACATCAGACCTCATCTCATAAATTATGAATTTATTTAATTTTGTGTGTTTAACTATTCTTAAAAAAAAAAAAAATGGAGAAAACTGGTATAATTTATTAGGAATAAATGGAAATATCTGTATTATTTGTATTGTATTATGTTGTTAAAAATGAAGTATTATGTAATAAAATAGGTAGAGATATCACTAAAGAAACCAGTGTGTTGTGACGTCTTGTGCGCAGAGGTCCATCAAGACAATAACAATGCTGAAAAGCTTTGCATAACTCTCTCCTGCCTATAGTATTAATAAAAATAGATGTTGAAATATTACTTTTATTGCTACCTGCATTTTGCCCCTTTTTGTTTATAGATTTTTAAGATGGCAATAAAATGTCTACAAAATGAATATGCTATAAAAGAAAGTATTTAGGAAATGGCATGTGTGAAATAAATTGTAATATATTACCTGAGGAGTTGTGTTCTTCTTTTGGTCTCCTATGAGCTTTTCTATACATATTTGTGCAAACACATGCACAATGTAAAATCCAATCAACATAAGTAAAAAAAAATGGGTTGCTTTTATTCAACTTCAGCTGTACATAAAGCAAATCCAAAAAACAATATCTTTTTAAGAAACATCTGAACGATTAAATTAAACCGTAAGACCAGTTGACATGGCCAACTGCCAGTGCTCATACGGTCAGTCATAACACATTGTAAACAAGCTAATGAATACATATTACGCATACATATTCATCACCTAGAAACATCTTTCATGTTAACCCAACAGTCAGTTAAAATGACATACACAGAGATGCTTTCATAATTCTTGAATATCCCTGTGGGTGACTTAAGTCACCAAAAAATGTTCACAAAACCGGGAGGTTCTCCCAATTTCATCAAATCACAGTTTCTAAACAGTTTGGAGCAAAAGTGTGAAATGTGAAACTGAATTGAGGTTTGTGATTTGAGACCGTGGCGGGAGGAAAAAAAAGGGTCGACAGGCACCAGGTGGCGATACCTCCAGAAGACGTTCAGGACAGTTACCCAAACACGAGACCGATTCTCTACAATCACCATTTAGCATCTAATGTGGATTTATCCCTTCAGACTGGACAGATAACGAGTTGGATAAGGACATAAAAATACTGTGGATCGTTATGGAGATGACATTGAAATGCATCATTAAAAAAAAATAAATTCCAGTTGGTCCAAATACGTATTCTGTGTCTTATACTCAGCTGATTTGATTGGTCATTATCCCATGATCTTCTTTATGGCATGAGGGGGCAAGTAGGTATGTACCATTCACTTTCAAAGGTTTGACAAGTAGAACCTTTGGACTGGAGTGATTTATCTTTAGGTTTCTGAGAGTCTATAATGTGAACGGTGGTAGTGTGGGACAATATCTGGGAGGTGTGTGTGATATCATTTAGTGGAGCGTCGAGCAGGTTCAAAGGCAGTGGGAGGAGGAGGTGGTCCCCTGCGGTCTAGCTCCTCCACATATCCCATAAGAAGTTTGTGCCTCTCTTCTGACATACAGTCCAGAACCAGATACCTTTTATCCTTTTCCAAGATCTTCTCAATGTCCGACAAGTGCTGCTCTGACTCCTGCATCAACTTGTGTGATCTGAAGACGGAATGGAAGACATTAAAATTAAAATGTCAAAACTCAAATCATTCAACCTGTTGAGATTACTGTGTTAACGAGTGTTTCAAATTACTTTTGGAACCAGACCGGGTTTATCTGTGAAATTCACATAGGCAAGGCAACATCCAGAACCACATTAAATAATAAATAAACAACAGAGAGCCAGTCAGAAAACCCTAGCAACTGCATAGACCCCAGCTAAAATACTTCCACAACTAAGTGGCATGCCTTTGAGCTTCTTCTTTTAAATTTTGACCACTCTGTTTTTAAAATGAAAACTTATTGGAAGATGAAATACAGTTGCAAAACAAAATTATTCAACCCCCAGAGACTGTAATAATTTACAAAATGTAGGGTTTTCTCAAGATACAGAGTTCTTTAAAAACTATTTATAACAGTTTCATAAATTCACACTTGCATGTAATTAGAGCTTAATGCTTATTTGGCGTGCTTTTGGAGGGCTCCAAGCTCAGAATTCAGCCCAAACCCAGTGTAGTTAGGGCCCAAGCCCTGAAAGGGCGAAGGCCCTATTGTTTTCCTTGGGATTATTAGGGCCCAAGCCCTGAAAGGGCGAAGGCCCTATTGTTTTCCTTAGGATTATTAGGGCCCAAGCCCTGAAAGGGCGAAGGCCCTATTGTTTTCCTAACGATTATTATTATTATTATTATTATTATTATTATTTATACGACTATTTGGGCACTTTTGGGGCCCTTAACATGCTCAAAAACTCTTGAAACTTTGCACACGGGTCAGAATCCGCGGCCATCAGGGCCGGGCTGAAGATGGTACCCGGGCGTGGCAGGGGGGCTAGACAGCGCCCCCTGGAACGGGGTCCGAAAACTTGGTCCATAACTCAAACACGCTTGCATGTAATAATATGAAACTCGGTACACATGTTGATCTCATCGTTCATATATACCTCAAACTATTACTTTTTACCCCAGCCCAACAGGAAGTCGGTTATTTAGGGTTGTTCATAAAACACTCGCAATGGAATTTGAAGTACTCCTCCTAGAAAATTCAAACACACGGCACGAAACTCGGTCAGCATGAAGTCAAGGCATTGAGGATGAAAGTTTGCGAGGGGATTTTTGATATCTCGAACGGTTTGGCCGTGGCGAGGAAACGAACTTATGGCGATAATTGTGAAACAGGAAGTGTGTCAGAACTTCAGCATACATTAACTGATCTTGATGAAACTTCAGCAGTTTGTTTGCTGTAAGAGGACGATCACATGGATGTGAATATTGTGAGTCAAAGTTATAGCGCCACCAACTGGCAGCAGGAAGTGTGTCACTTTCAAAATGCTTTGAAATCACCCTCTTATTTTTACCCGATTTGCTTCAAACTTAATCTGTATAATGTAAATACATAGCAGATGAAGACCTGTGAATGGATTCTTGATATCTTTGATACTGTTGCCGTGGCAACGCATCAAACTTTAAAATTCTTTTTTTTTTGATGATTTTGAGACTCTTAGCGGCTTTTGGGGCCCTTAACGGGTTTGAAAACTCTTGAAACTTTGCACACAGGTCAGATCCCACAGCCATCAGAGCCGGGCTGAAGATGGTACCTGGGTGTGGCAGGGGGGCTAGACAGCGCCCCCTGGAACGGGGTCCGAACACTTGGTCCATAACTCAAACACGCTTGCATGTAATAATATGAAACTCGGTACACATGTTGATCTCATCGTTCATATATACCTCATACTATTACTTTTTACCCCAGCCCAACAGGAAGTCGGCTATTGAGGTTTGTTTGTAAAACGCTCGCAATGGAATGTGCAATACTCCTCCTAGAGAATTCAAACACACGGCACGAAACTCGGTCAGCATGAAGTCAAGGCATTGACGATGAAAGTTTGCGAGGGGATTTTTGATATCTCGAACGGTTTGGCCATGGCAAGGAAACGAAATTATGGCGAGAAACGTGAAACAGGAAGTGTGTTGTAACTTCAGCATACATTAACTGATCTTGATGAAACTTCAGCAGTGTGTTCGCTGTAAGAGCACGATCACATGGATGTGACTATTGTGAGTCAAAGTTATAGCGCCACCAACTGGTAGCAGGAAGTGTGTCACTTTCAAAATGCTTTGAACTCACCCTTTTATTTTTAACCGATGTGCTTCAAACTTAATCTGTATAATGTAAATACATAGCAGATGAAGACCTGTGAATGGATTCTTGATATCTTTGATACTGGTGCCGTGGCAACGCATCAAACTTTAAAATTCTTTTTTTTTATGATTTTGAGACTCTTAGCGGCTTTTGGGGCCCTTAACGGGTTTGAAAACTCTTGAAACTTTGCACACAAGTCAGATCCCACAGCCATCAGAGCCGGGCTGAAGATGGTACCTGGGTGTGGCAGGGGGGCTAGACAGCGCCCCCTGGAACGGGGTCCGAACACTTGGTCCATAAATCAAACACGCTTGCATGTAATAATATGAAACTCGGTACACATGTTGATCTCATCGTTTCATCTATACCTCACGCTCTTACTTTTTACCCCAGCCAAACAGGAAGTCGGCTATTGAGGTTTGTTTGTAAAACGCTCGCAATGGAATGTGCAATACTCCTCCTAGAGAATTCAAACACACGGCACGAAACTCGGTCAGCATGAAGTCAAGGCATTGAGGATGAAAGTTTGTGAGGGGATTTTTGATATCTCGAACGGTTTGGCCGTGGCGAGGAAACAAAATTATGGCGAGAAACGTGAAACAGGAAGTGTGTTATAACTTCAGCATACATTAACTGATCTTGATGAAACTTCAGCAGTGTGTTCACTGTAAGAGGCTGATTACATGGATGTGACTATTGTGAGTCAAAGTTATAGCGCCACCAACTGGCAGCAGGAAGTGTGTCACTTTCAAAATGCTTTGATATCACCCTCTTATTTTTAACCGATTTGCTTCAAACTTCATCTGTATAATGTAAAAATACAGCAGATGTAGACCTGTGAATGGATTCTTGATATCTTTGATACTGTTGCTGTGGCAACAAACAAACTTTAACATTCTTTTTTGATACTTTTGGGACTCTTAGCATGCTTGAAATTGCTTGAAACAGATAGATACAGATAGCTCGACAGATACATCACATTTATTAGCCAGTAGGCATGTGCAACTTTGGCAAAAGATTAAAGTAATGTCAAAAAGTAAACACTAAAAGCCTCATATCTTCTAAAAATGTAATTATACATCATTTGTTTCTAAATTAAATTATACAAATATTATAATTAAAGCAGTTTTTCCCTTTTTTCATTTAAGAATTATGTTTACGTTCAAAAACAGCCAGGTTGTAAAATTCAGAAGAAGAAAAAATAATCTGAGTCATACGTAGTGCTATACTGCCCTCTTGTGTTCAATATCAGTTAGGCCTATTGTGTATATTCCCACCGGTTAATCAACGTGTGACTCCGCTGGGACTCGGGAACTTTTAAATCGCTTACTTAAAACCGAAAGTCAAAATACAGATATCCGCACAAGACATTAATGTTGTGGAGTAGAGCAAGCATTTTAAATAAATTCCTATTAAGTAGGATTGAACTAAACAGAATGAACGTTCACTCTGTTCTGCTGGTTCCTCGCTGTTGGCGCGCACAGTTATGAATGCTTGTGCAGCCATGAGTTTTAGTTCAATTTTAAAATTAGCGCAATTTCGGGATTTGTATTATTTGAATTTATTTTTAAAAAACACAATGTTGAGTTTTATTGTAACACTGTTTAATCGCGCCCACGGTTATATTTTGTATATTATATATAATTATAATGTATTTCTGTATAAAATAATACTACAATAAAAAACACATTTGTGACCGACCTGATCCAGCAAAATTAGTCACAGTGACCCAAATTTAAAAATTGAGATTTTGATATTAATGGAAAGAGGACACTGTAAGCTTTCAAATGATACCTTGGTCATACCTTGAATGGTTGTAAAGATATACAGATTTGAATTCTGGTCGTCTGCCCTTTTTTTCCAATTGAAAACCTAAGAAAATCGCTTTTAAAGTTTTTTTGCCCGTTTTTTTTTTTTTTTTTTTTTTTTTTATATCTTTCAAAATCCATAGCATTTTAAGGGATAAACTATTTATTTTATATAGCTTAATTTGACCAAATAGATTAACATATATAAATGCAATTTAACGAGGCTGAAACTCAACTTATTTTTAATTTTTTTGAAATAAATAATTAAAAGTCACTTTTACAAAAATGTTCTAAAATCAGAAAGATTGAAGAGGAGTCAGAGAGATATTCAGTTTTCATACGGATTAGCCCACATAAGCAGAGAGCAGTCTGTTTTCTTTCATTTTGAATGGTTGTCTTTAAAAGTAGACATTTCAATATATATGTCTGTGAGGATACCTTATACGCTGACTTTCGGTTCATGAGACAAGCTTCAGTTCACGTGCCGCGCGTCTCCGCGTCGTGATTAGGCCTAGCCTATTGTCTGCAATTTATTTCTTATTATTAAATCCTAGTAATTGGTTGATGAAACATTGATTTAAATTAAGATAATTATTTTAAAACGAAATTTACTTTAAAGAAAGGCTTTGTGCTTGCATGTTTAAGCTATGTGAAAGTTTTAGTGCTGCTTCCAGAGAACGGTCACGTTCGGATTGTTTTTCCTCATAAATGCGAACACGGAAAATAAACAACGCGTTCTCATCCCAAAGCGCCATATAGGACGCTTTGCAAAAGCGTAAATATCCAACGCACATGGCACCCTTTAACGTCTAATGAGACGCTTCGGTTAGGGTTAAGTTTAGGTAAGGTGTAGGGTAAGGGTTAGACCACTAGGGGGCGCCTTCTGCCCAAAAATATCTGCGTCCCATTTCACGTTAAAGGGTGCCATGTGCGTTGGATATTTACGCTTTTGCAAAAGCGTCCTATATGGCGCTTTGGGATGAGAACAGGCTCAAATAAAATAAAGATTTTATGTTCTGGAGAGAGTCAACCCTTCTTCATCCGGTGAGTATT